ACTCGATCCAGAACTAGGGACCTTAACACATACCTTCTACATATAACTCTTGAAGTTTTCTACGTTGTTCTTTATAAATTTTGTGTCTAGTGTTGCATAGAAGAATGATTCAAAAGGGTAACAAGCATCTTTACAGTTCTTTACTCAATCTAAACAACTAACAGAAGAGCAAGCTACTAGGAAAGTTGCTAATGTGTTAAGATTCGAGTTTCAACATTCCTTACTTAAGGATAAGGAAATTTTTAGTGGGGTGTACTGATACGATTTGAAATTTAATCAAAGTTTTGGCTTCTTAAGAAGTTGTACAGATGGCTATGAGGGTTGTACAACTGTTTTGGTTAGTCAAGGAGTTACAATTAGTTTATAACATCCGGAGCTTCAAATAGACGGCTATAGTTTCTAATAACTAGTTTGGCTGTTTCATAATTTTTCGAAGTGTAATTTTTTATTTTCAGTTCAGCCTTCTCACTGAGAAAGGCTATTTGTGTTCACATTTATCTCATTTGGAGCTTCTCAATTAAAATATCTCTTAGTTATCTTAATTTAGTCTAGTTTAGTTCTTAGTTAGAATTTCTTCTCTGATTCTCACATTGTATCATAAGACAGGTTACTAACAAGCACTTCTCTAATTTTCAAATTGTATCATAAACTAGATTAGTAATGAGCAATGTAGGTAAAATTATGAAAAAATAGTTTTGCACAAAATAAAGAGAATTTAAATATTACTTAGCAACTATAAAAAACTCATGTGTGTTCGATACTGTCTCTGTTTTCTCCATAGCTTCAATCGTAGGGAAGCCTATAGTTGTTGATAAAGCAACTAAGGATCAAACTCGGCCAAATGTTGCTCAAGGTAAAGGTAAAGGTGAATTTATTAGATGATTTCCCAGAAGGAAATAAGTTATCTTGTAGAAGACGTGATAACCAAGTGCAAGGTGATGCAAGGGAAACACTTACTAAAAAAGAGGTACTAATGGTTCTAACAATGAAAAAGAGAATTCAAAATGGAAATCTACAACAGAAAAAAGAGGATGTTGTGTCGCAAGTTAATAATTTGGAGCAGCAATCAATTACTCTCGTGGTTGCAAAGCAATGTGTCATGGCTGGAACTTTAGATGATTATCAAGATGGTGTTCATATTGTTGATCCAGCCATGATTGTATTGCCGAAACTCGATAAATCTGGACAACAATAATGTGCAACTGAATCTGAGAAATCAGTGTCGTTGCTGGTCCTCAAGAAGCTGATGAAGGTATGAAAAATGCAGCTAAGCATGTTATTTCTGTGAAGCAATTCTTTGACGAACAAGGAAATAACAACATTGCAGTATTTTAGTGATGAGTGGATTGTGGCCTCTTACAGGAAAACTGGTGGTTCTAAGTCTCCAAACAACCAGTTGCACCATCAAAATGATGCACATGTTTGTTTTGATGGAAGTAACTGTGTAGCTGAAGGTACATAGTTTAATGTGTTGCGAGATGAAAATTTTGGACGACAATTGATAGAGAATGAAGCTGGAGAAACGAATGTAGACCAGGTAGTTGGCAAATATGCCCAGGAAAAATGCACTTCCTCAAATATTTCTCCATATGTAACGATAAGCAAGGAATAAATTACTTCGGATCATTCTACACCATCTTTGATTGACGCAAGTAATTCTAAACAAATTTGGAATGAATCAAGTGTTGCTGAAGTGTGGAATTTTAAACAGCTCGCAACAGAATGAAAAATATTTGAAGCTGCAACTATCGAGAAGGAGCAAAATCTGAATGAGAGGCAACTGGCAGCCGCTGAGGATAATGTAAAAAAGAACTGTTTTTCGGCACTTGTGGCTGCTAATTTTTTTTTTGAAATAAAAAATCTCAAGGCTAGAAAATGTTGAAAGGCGCAATGAAAAACAGACCAAGAAAACTAACAGAATTCAGACAATCACAACTACATAAATAAGAAAGGCAGAAAAGCCATGAACACTAACTAGTCTATGATCAATTTGCAGGCTCGTCAACTTCTGGGGTCTAAAGTTCAGTCGTCTCTTGCTCAGCGTCCTGCAGCTCCTTCTCGGTCTTCTTTCCTTTCTTAGAATTATAGTACACACTCATGAAGGTTCCAATGGCTTTGTACTTTCTTCTGCAGTGCTCGTACAGGCCTCCATCAAACATCCTCCAGAAGTTCTTCTCACCCAGCTCGGGGACAGCGTATTGTGGCTGGAATCCATAGTTTTTAATCAACCAAGTCTCCAACCTACGGACTGCCTCTATACCATGAAAGACCTCACCCCTCAAAATAGGTCCAGGAGCATAGTAGACACCAATTTCGGAGTATATTGAATGTACATCATGGGGTATATTTCAAGAGGTTGAATTAAGTTACTACTACAATTTATACCATCAAAGTAGTAATATTTTACATTTCAATGGCTAACAACATTCAGCCTCGCAAACAAACACCAAGAAAGAAAACCCACACTTGCAACCTTTGCTTTATTATTTGCTGCTGAAAGTTTAGACCCATTACCTGTCCTACCTCATTAAATTATTTAATAGTTTGAGTTTCATCCCGCCCCCACCCTGCCCTATTTTAATCCCTACTTATGGAAAATCACTTCATAAATCAAAACTCAGTATTCTATTGAATATAGAGGAAAAGGACAGCAAAGTTTAAGGAGAGAACTAAATTAAAGTAAACGAGAGAGTTACCGGAGAGAATTGATGGCGACAAACCAAGAAGGCGAAGAGAAAGATGCAGCGTCTAAGGATGTCAGCTCCGGCGTCTTAGGATGTCAGCTGCGGCGGCGTTTCTGAGAGAAAAACAAGAGACCACGCACAATCCCTTAATTAATGAAAGGGGTAGCCTTTTTTCTTTCAGAGAAGATTAAAATAATTTTTATCAGTTTTAATAAGAACCTAATTGTAACTAATGTTATGTGGAAACAAAATGCTAATCACATTAAAATTTGTTTATTCATTTATGATATGGACACACAAATAAATTAGGTATTTATAATTCAATTCGATTTATTTTTTAATTTAAAAATAAACTTATATATTACATCTGAATTTTGTTATTTTAGTTTATTTTGGTCTTTTAGATCTTTTTACTACTACATAAAATTCTAAATTTAGTCTAATTCATTTTTATTTTGGTCTTTTAAATCTTTTGAAGATGTCATTAATAAACTTTCTTTTGGTTGTTGCTATTTTTTTTCTATTTTGTGAATACTAAATATTCCTATTATAATGTCAATTTAGAGTACATTATAAACTTAAAATCGATACTAGCTTTATTATTTTGGCAAGTCATATGTTTTTTCATACTAGTTCTCAGACACGTGCATTGTACGTGTATTTTATGCTAATTAGTACAATTTTTTTAAAATAATAGAGAAGGAAATAAAGAAATTGACCAGATGCAAGAATTCGAAAAAATGACCAAACAAAATAAGTCAGATAATATAAAACAAAGTCTCAAGATTGGAAACGCAAGCAATGAACAACAAAGAACAAAAGAGAACAAAAATTATTAAGAGCAGAACAAAGATCAAAGAAATTAATATAAAAAGAATATACCTTTGTTGAGAAAGTGCTAAGAATACACCAAATATTGAGTATTTTTTAAAAAAACAAAGCATATAATAATTTGACAATAGCCCAAGGTCATTGAGCTTCATAAATCAAAGTGATCAGATGAAGCCAAAAATATCAGTGATCCCAACTATTGCAACTTTCACCACATCTCCGTTACCCCGGTCCACATAAAAAATATTTTAAAGACAAAAAATCATGGCGTTAGTGATGGATGAAAATATTATCATTGATGTTCGAGAGATGATTGGTGTAATTCATGCTAGTGCCAAAGTTAACAACAAGAAATGTACAACATCATAAACTCTACGATATAGGCGCTCTGTTGCATCACCAAAGATTGAAGAAAGAACCATCATACTACAATTTGAAAGTTTTGAACAATTTAAAATTTCCACCTTGCTGAAGAAAACATCAAACATGTTAAAGGTAGATGACGTCCCTTAACACATCAAACATATTTAATCCAAAATTATAAATTTAATTTTGAATATAGATGGACTATGGTAACCTATTAGAATCCTTGCGACTAAACTAAACTGTCATGAAAAGTACTCGAGAAGCAAGATAATAGTTAATTTAATTAACCAATTCCCACAAACTTTATCCTATATAATTAATTTGTACGTAGTTATACAATTTGACCTATTTGTTTGGTTAAATTTCTATACATTAGCTACGAACAAACTTGTCGTTACAACTAATATAATATATAATTTTACTTGAATTACATACCATACTAGTGATTACATTATACCTCACTTATTCTACGTTGTTTTCATACGGAAACATTTATTTATAACTATTGATCACAGTTAATTGACCTTAACTCATCAAATTACCACCCTTTTAAGGCATTTTGAATAATAGTTTCATGATGAAAAATACTCCCATTTTGTGTTAGCGTCTAATTTGGCTTGATCGCATAGTTACTTTAATATTCTTTTTCATTTTGTCTTTACTTATATATCCTATTTTATTCTTCACCCTAACTTTTTATAGAAGCTCTACCCCATACCCTATTTTTCTTGTAGGGTTAGTATTCATTAAAATAATACAATACGATACATATCATACATAATGAAACAATACGTAACAAACGTCAATTAAATAATATACAAAACCGCAGCAACAACAAAATCAAAAACAATTATTAAAAACCAAATTCCAAAATCAGAAGTTAGAACACTAATTACCAAAATCAGAATAAATTACTATTATACGGAAGACTCATAAAAGGAGATACACACACCAAACATTGGTAAATAGTGAACTTCTCTTACATTTTAATTTGGGCTTGAAATCTTATTTAGTTGAGAAGCAAATGGTCTGGCCCAAACCCGGACCAGGCCCAAACAAATGTATGCTATCTAATTAGGAAAGTAAGTAATTTTTTTTTCTACAAAGAAACACCAAAAATCTGATAGATGTATGGAAGCTTCTTCGAGTCTCTCATCTTCTCCTCCTTGAAGCTCCCAGCTAATCTACTGATAATGATCCCTGAGCTCTCTCCGATGATCCACTGTCTCTACTTCCTCCGATGAGCCATTGTCTCTACTTCCTCCGATGAGCTTCCAATTTCTTCATGCAGCTAAGTTTCTTGCTTTACAGATGTGCTCAATGTTACATGTATGATATCCACTTCCTTCATCTATTATGATCTATACTTTTGTATTGTTTCATTCACAACTTAGTGTTGGATATTCTAAATTTGACCAGATTTATTTCATTATTCAAATTAGTGTTGTGCTAATTTTTAGGGCAAATTTTAGCTAAACAACACAAAGATTGATGTGCACTCAAACAGACAAGCAAGAGTATTATCATTCTTAGGAGACCTTTTTTTTTCCCCTAAAAATGGCTTTTAATTTTTTTATTTTATTTCAAAAGTTCGTTTTCAAGTTTCGACACTATGTACGAGTTAAGCTCATTTTGGAATTGATTTATCTAGATGCTTAGTTATGGACATTTATACCCTTTTGAAATATATTAAAATAATTATTAATGTTAATAATATGCAAAACTCAGGTTGGTCGAGCACTTCTCCACTTCCTAAGTTTCAGGGTTAATGAGTTAATTGGAGGCACAACTTCCTTCACTTCTTCAAATTTTCCCACCAAAGAACGTACAGAAAGCCAAAAAATGGAGAAAGAAACTATCTTTTGGCGCTTACTTTTTTTAGGTTTTTGGCTCCAAAAGAATTTCAGAATAACCACGATATATTTGAGAAGTTTCATTGCAAAATGAAAGAATATCTGAACCTGGACAAGAAGACCAGGTATGTTTCAGTCTTCCCACTTTATGTTTGAACAAAATTAAACAGATCATTATGTGCAGTAATCATATATTGAATGATTTGTTCATTGATTATTTCTGGCACCTCCATTAACCTTGCTTTATTTTTGTCTCATAAGATCATTTAGAAGAATACTCGAATTTACTGTGTAGATTACGGTTTCAAGTGGTGTGCATACTTACAATTGGTGCGTGACACACACTAGTGAAGTATAACACTATTCAAGTTTCTATTTAAACAACTTCTCATTCGTTTTGTCGTATATTGATGTTCTCCCCTCAGATTTCTAGGGAAGAGCGCATGGATTGTGAAAACAAGTATTTAAAGTCTGTCGCATTATGCTTCTGGAACTTGACACTTAGAATTAAGATAGGGTAATGGAACTTTCTATGAAGATGAACCAAACCAAAATATTTATAGATGAATATTATGTAGGGCAATTTGTTCTTGGTTAAGAAAATTTTATTAACACCAAAGTGGGAACTACAAAATAAAATAGGACTAACCCCTATTTCTTATAAGTTTCAGTTGACAAAAAATAATAATACAATTTGATGTACCAACTTCACTTTTGTCTATCTATTACAAGTGATGTCAATACTATCCTACTACATTTTAGCTAATCAATTTGGTATAAAATTTGATCTCCAATCCTTCCAGTTCTTGCGGCTTCTTTTGGTGTTAACCTCGAGGCATATGGTTGAGCACACCTAGAACATACTACCATGACTTCAGGAACCTCCCCCTTATGGACAACTATTTCTCTTGCCACCCTAGTCTCCTGGTAGTGAGTGGAAGTGAGTGGCCTACCTGGAATCTTTCATGTTCTTTTCCCTCCATATTAGTGATACTACCATAGAAAATACGCAGCTAATGATGCTTCACTTCTTGAGTCTTTTCTTTTTCCATTTTATGCTCAAGTGACCTCTCCCTGCCAGCTTCCGATCAATCTAGGTTCACCTATCCAGCACAACATTCTGGATCACAACTTTTGGGTAACATTGCATTCAAAGAAAATGTGGTCAATGGTTTGTTCAGTTGTGTCACAGAAAATACAAGGAGAAACAAATATCCCAAATTTCAGCAGTCTTTCTAAAATGGCTAATCTTTTTTGCAAGGCCAACCAAAGACAAAACTTATGTTGAGGATGAACATTGAGATGAACTATGAGGCTTTCCCATGGAACTTTTGGGTGCTGGAATCATGGCTACTTATATTTTTCTTGATAAGGAACTTACCCATAAACACCATACTACCTAGTCTCTTCACTAGGCTTTCTTGCAGATTTGGTAATGACACAACAAACTACCTTGCTTCGATGATTTTTCTTACCATCAATGTAGAATTACTTGGGATATGACACACCTCAATAGAATATGTCTTCATATAGTAATTGTTGAAACCAATAGGCATTTCTTCACTAGGCTCAATATTTATCAAATCCACAACCTTTGCTTAACACTTTAGCTTATATAGGTTTTCTGAAACGTTTTTGCCTTGAAATTTGGACATTTCCTGCATAAATTTATCATTGATATGTTATACTTGTTCTTTAATTTGCTAGTGATGATTCAATAATTCAATTAATATTTGGACAAGAAGATAAAAAAAACTCATATTAATAAATAATGTGTGTGAGACTTTCCAGTTTGATAGTTTATGTTCTTTTTAGATTTTTCGTTAGTTGTCAATAGTTGGTGCTTTTGTATAAATATTTTTTTTCAACCAATTGAGTTTATATCTTATGAACATACTAAATTTACATATTGTGTTTTGGTAGAGTTCTGTAAATCAATGGCACCGGGTGGACGTGTCTTTAGACAAACTACACTTACAGGGGAAACGACTCAAGATACTCAATCAGTGGATGACTCAAATAACCTTATTCATGTTAATACATGTAATATGTTTTATGATATTGATTACTATTAAATTATTTAGTTATTGGCCAAGTTGGAATCGAAAATGTTACCTATTAAAACTTCTATTAATGTTAAACTTCTAAGAAAATATATGGACATTAGCTTAGTATCTAAGGATGGTGAGAATGATGTTGGGAACATGAAGTAGTAGGATAAATCAAATTGATTTTGTTCACTCTAGTGAAAGTTATTCAATCTCGGATGATGTGTGAATTTGTGGATTTAACTCATGTAGTTATTTTTACATTTTAAAAGAACTGCTTCATGATATCACTCATAATCACACATGTCTTTTTCTTAACATGAAAGCCATTGAACATTTGTATGAGCAGTTGTAGGTGACTTTGTTTTGTCAATATACTACATAAGCTACAAAAATTGACTCTAAGAAGTTGAAAATGCTGTCACATATTTCATATAATCATTTTTTCATGATAACTTGTATTAGTTAGACTTGTTTTATTTTTTACTAGCTCTCTTAGACTTGTTTTATTTTTTACCAGCTCTCCGTTGCTCGTTATGACATAAAAAAATAGGTGTCTAAAGGTACTTGTTCTGTCAATATGTATAATTTGAATCTTTTTTCTTAATGAATAGGTGCTGTGATTTATACTTTAGAATTCAATGTCATTTTATGTAATTCATGAAACTTATAATCAACGAATGATTTAAATGATCAAAATAAATGTTATTAGCTCTCCTATATTCTCTTTGTTTCTCGATAAATTTCTTGACCTTGTTGTCTCTTAAGATACAACAAAATAAAGCAAAATTCCCAATGTTCCAGTCTTCATCTTGTGCCGTACTGCCATATGTACTATTTCTTTTTAGATTTTAGGTGGTGTTTTGAACAGACTTTTTTTCATCAGATGATTTCACTAGACTTAAGAAAGGTCGTGGCAAAACTAGAGGGAAAGGTCTTGAAAAAATGAAGAAGACTTTGGGAAGCAAGATGAAAATAGAAATTCCACTGGGCAAAGGAAGGCCAACTAAACCAGATCAATCAGCAAAACTATCCAACGAGTTAGGGATAATTGCCCGAAACTTTCTATTGCTTCCAAACAAGTGGAAGGAACTCACAAGAGAGGACAAAGATGCAGCACTAATTAGATGTCACGTAAGGATTTTGTACTCTAGTAAATTTATTACATGGTAGTGATTATACTAAGGCCTTTCTGATACTACTATTACTCATCCATCTATTTTTTTGGCAAACTCTTCGATTATATCTATATCTGTTGATATCTAGTAGTAGTTCACCATTGATCTCTTTCTCTTTATTCTGTGAGATTCATATTTTCTTTTAACTTTAAGAGAATAGGAATCTTATTACCAATAGTTAATAAACTAGAAAACAAACAACTAGTACATCAGCTCAACTAATTGTTAGTAAACCAACAACCAGGGGTATACATTCATCTCTTCAAGCTTCCTTCCTAAACTATTTCTCAGGGATCCTCTAAAGAAGATGGAAACTTGTGGTCAGTATTTTCAACCGTTAATAAACTAGAAAAAAAAACTAGTACATCAGCTCAACTAATTGTTAGTAAACCAACAACCAGGGGTATACATTCATCTCTTCAAGCTTCCTTCCTAAACTATTTCTCAGGGATCCTCTAAAGAAGATGGAAACTTGTGGTCAGTATTTTCAACCGTTAATAAACTAGAAAAAAAAACTAGTACATCAGCTCAACTAATTGTTAGTAAACCAACAACCAGGGGTATACATTCATCTCTTCAAGCTTCCTTCCTAAACTATTTCTCAAGGATCCTCTAAAGAAGATGGAAACTTGTGGTCAGTATTTT